CCCCCCCCCCCCCCCCCCCCAAACAAAGCTGCTCATTATCTCCTGACTCATCGTAGCTCAGTCTCTCCACACTGCCGGGATAATTCCCCCCAACGTCTTACCCACAATCCTGCAGTCTCTGAAGACCCACAGAGACCGTTTCTGGTGAACCAGATCCTCAGTCAGTAAATAAGTGACTCATGAGCTCCGACTGCAGCTTCTATTTAAAACAACAACTGCACGTCCATCACTTAGTAGCTAAAATGTTTGGATGAAGTCAACTTTCTGACCTCTAAACTGGAAGTCTTGGCTAACTGCAGGCATTATACAGACGGATATTTGATAGCTCAGAGATATTGATCGCTCGCTGTCCAGAGGAATCAGGCTCCTCCGGATCGATACAGCTCGAGGAATCGGGCCAATAGAATTTCTTCTGCTTAAGATAACATTTTTAAATTTAATGGATGGAAAAAAAAGAAAAAAAAACAGTGAGCTCGGAACTGAGAAGATCCTCAGTCAGAGGAGATTCAAGTGTTGAGATATTTATTCATTAAAACATCTGTGGTTATTGAGAACATTCCTCTTTTTTTCATAAGTTTAAAGGATTTTAAGTCCGTCATGTTGACACTGTTTTCTTTTTATGGTACCGAGCTCTGCAGGAACTTTTTATTCTTTAGAATTTCAGTGTTCACGTGATGGCTGTTTGATCCATCCATCCATCCATCCGTTGCATTGAGTTGTCCATCTAGTCAACCTGTCTGTCCAACAAACACTGTTTAACAATAAACCCATCTACACACCTGTCCATTCATCCATTTGTCCAGCCAATAACCCTGGTCCATCTTTTGTCCAACCAATCAATGCGTCTGTCCACCTTTTCATCCATCCTTTTGTCCAACCAATTACCTAGTCCATCTATCATCAAACCAGTCAACCTATCTCTCCACCTGTCCATCATCCATGTGCTTTACCAATTACCTGTCCATCCATTGAGCACATTGTCCGTCCGTCCAATCAATCAATCCGTTTGTCCATCTACTGATAATCAACCCAACTTTCCATCCATCCATTGGTTTGTCCATCTAGTCAACCTGTCTGTCCAACCAACACTGTTTAACAATAAACCCATCTATGTCCATTTGT